ACACACACACACACACACACACACACACACACACACACACACACTGATTAGCAGTAGCACCCTCCAGTTGGGGACAATAGAAATTCTAGTGTGCCAACAGTCCCCTGGGAAAATTGTTCTGAAAGCACTGCTCCACACCGGGTTGTGTGTCTTGCCTCGTCCAGAGAAAGAATTCCAAGCCCCAAGCTTCCTTCCCTCCTTATTACTGTTCAGATCACATGAAAGAAACCCCACAAATCTTTTATTAGAGATGAGGGAAGTAACATGTCTGAGATGAATGAAGGCAGACTCTGGGGGCTCAGAACGTAACCCTGCTTCTGTGGGACACAGAGTCAGGCATCCTGAGGAAAGCCCAGCTTCCCACCGGACTGTGGTGCTGGCCCCGCAGTGCCCTCTGGTCTCTCGTGCTTGGCCAGACCCATTCTTATGGGGCCTAGCACCTAGTGGCTGTGAAGTCGAGATGCTGGTGGTTGGTGATGGCTCAGGATCATCTTCGTGATTGGGACTGAGCAGTGGTTGAACTGCCAGCCCCTTGAAGCAGCAACTTCAAGTCTCAGCCCTACCACCCTCTTTTCTCAGCCCCTCACTGCCCCCAGACTGGAGGGCTCCACAGCTGACCAAAAGGAAGAAATGGGATCCATCAACCCAGACCACTTCTTCCCATCCTGCTAAATCAAGGAGTGAGGCCAACTTGGGTGAGTTATGGTCTACTTCCTGTACAGATCCCAAGAAGGCTGTATGCTTTGACAGCCTCACTGGCTGTCCAGGACATGGGCACTGGTCGATTAGAATAAGAATGGGCTGCTCATAAGTGCAGAGAGGAAGCCAGCTGATTGGAGGTCCTGCCCTACAGCCCAGAACCACCCTCAGGTTCAGGCCCTGCCCAATTTCAAGCCAGTTTCCTGAGAGCAGCTTGGCATCAGGATCCCAATCCAGGGCTACACAGAAAGCTGGAATTCAATAAAGGAACGCCAGACCAGTGTATAGCCCAGAAGACAGCGTCTGGGCTGGCACAGCCCCTGATTGGGAAGTGGACGGTGGAGGGTCAGCCCTATTGCTGTATGTAATGAGATAGAGGCAAAGAACTACCATTGGCCCCAACATGGAAGGGCCAGTGTCTTTGGCAGGGCATGGTCCACGCCAGGAAGGCCACAAAGACATGAGGGACAGAGGGAGTAAGACCCAAGGGGATGGATGTCTCGACTCCCATGTCAGTCATGTGGGCTCAAATCCCAGCTCTGAACGTTAGGGTCCAGCAGGGATCATGCAGGGGTCAGCGAGGAGCTAGTCTTGAAAAAGTTGCAGGGAACTTGGCGCGAGAACCCCAGTCTTGGAGCCGTCTCCTTCAATGAAGGCAGCCTAGAGGGAAGAGAATGAAGCTGACATTTTCTAAGCACCTGTGACATACCAGGTATGGGGCTCACTTTCATGGCAGTCCTGTGATGAGTGGATTAAATTATTCCCATTTGGTAGAAAAGGCAAGTGAGGCTTACAGAAATGAAGCCACCTGCCCAAGGTCGAGGTTACCTTACTCTATATGCAATACCCCTGGTTGATAGATCTTGGTCTCCAGGGCAACCAGGGAGTAAACACAGACTTGTGTCCCTGGATTTGCCATGATGGGAATAAAATGCAGGACCTCGTGCATGCCAGGCAAGTGCTCTCCCATGGAGCCACATCCTCAGCCCTCTGTCTCCCCAGACTCAGTTCTTGCTCCTGCCATCCCTTCCCAGTACAGACAACCAATGGCACTCCTGAGGAATTCCAGAGGACGCTGCCTCCTCACGGCTCCCATCTGATCCACTCGCAGGTGTGACTGGCTGTGTGTCATTATTGGAAACGGTAATATGACTAATGTAAATATTCATCACAGAGACGCTGGGTGGAGGATGACAGCGCTCGCAAGCCCTGCCACGCCTCTCTGTGCCTAGGACCTGGATGTCCTCGTGGATTGCAGGAGCCTCCCATGCAGGCCCAGGCCAGGCACGGAGCCATCCTAATCCAGGGGGTTCCTCTGTCAGTGGCTGGCTGGGCAGACACAGCTTTCCCATCTTCCCCTGGGTCACAGCCACAACTTGGGCCTTGTCACTTCATTATCACTCAAGGTCTGGCTCTCTCAGCTTCACACAGCCTTGGGCCAGCGCAGGAAGGAGCAGGGGCAACCAGGCAGGAACTGACCCAGTGGTGGTTACATGTGCCCAGTCTTGGGGAGAAGTCTCTCACTCCCCACCCACTCTACACTTGCTCTCCACCAATGCTGCCTCTCAGACACCTGTCACCGCCCCTCTAACCACAGTCCTAGAGCTCCTACCGGAATATTCTTTCTGGGAAGAGGTTGTTGGGCAGAGGGACAGTCTTCGGGGCTCCGGCCACCCCGCCGATAGGAACGGGTGCTCTCAGAGCTGGAAGGCAGAAAAAGGCCGACGTCATCCTGGTGCCCGGAGCCCCTAAGAGTAGGAAGAAAAGATTCAAGTAAAAAGCAAGGCTGGGGTTTTGTGGGGTTCATAAAGGCCCTAGACTGGGTCTATCACAGGCCCTAGAAACCTGCAACCAGCTCCCAGAGGGCTCTGGGATAGCTCTAAGTCCAGTTCTCCCCAAAGGCAGGCAGGGTTTGTAAAGAAAGGTGGAGGGCTAAATCCCCCAACAACAAATCTTCAAAGAAACAACTGCCCAATAACTAAGTGGGCTAAAGACTTAAAGAGAAACTTCTCTGAAGAGGAAAGAAGGATGGCCAATAGACACATGAAGAAATGCTCAGCCTCCCTAGCCATAAAAGAAATGCAAATCAAAACAACATTGAGATACCACCTCACCCCAGTTAGAATGGCTAAAATCAAGAACTCTAATAACAACAGATGCTGGAGGGGATGTGGACAGAAGGGAACCTTACTGCATTGTTGGTGGGAGTATAAACTTTTTCAACCACTTTGTAAAGCAGTATGGAGGTTCCTCAAAAGACTCCACATAGAGCTCCCTTATGACCCAGCAATCCCACTTTTGGGCATTTACCCAAATGTTCACAAACAAGACCACACTAAAGCTACCAGCACGACTATGTTTATTGCAGTATTATTTACTATAGCTAAGATATGGAACCAACCCAGATGCTTCTCAGTAGATGAACAGATCAAGAAAATGTGATATATATACACAATGGAATTCTATGCCTCCATCAGAAAGAATGACATTGCCCCATTTGTTAGGAAATGGAAAGGCTTGGAAAAAATTATATTAAGTGAAGTAAGCCAGGCCCAAAGAAATATAGGTCCCATGGTTTCCCTTATTTGCAATAACTAGTATATGTTTGAGTCAAGCAGAAAAGGTCAGATAAGTTAATGTTAGGGAAATGAACCCTAAGATATGTATTCAAATGTTTTTTTTCTTTCATGTGATTGTTTCTTGTTTTTTTTTTTTTTTTCCGGTCGTGAGGCCTGAACTCTGGGCCTGAGCGCTGTCCCTCAGCTCTTCAGCTCAAGGCTAGCACTCTACCACTTGAGCCTCAGCCCCACTTCCGGCTTTTTCTGCTTATGTGGTGCTGAGGAATCGAACCCAGGGCCTCATGCATGCATGGCAAGCACTCTACCACTGAGCCAACTTCCTGGCCCATCATGTGATTGTTTCTAACACATTTATAAGATTATTTCTTCGTTGCTTTGTATGTCCCTCCCCCACAGTATAACCCCTGCTTTCACTGTATTTGATGTTGGTATAATTTGTGGAGGGGAAGGGGAAAAACAAATCGTTTAAATAGGGATACAAGTGGACCCATTGCAACAATGAGATGTACAAGTCGTTATGTTGAAAACGAACTTTACAACTTTGGTGGGGTGGAAGGACTGGGTGGGTGGGTGGGTGGGTGGGTGGGCAGGGGGAGGATGGAAAGGGATGGGAAGGGGAAACAAAGGAGGCTACAATGCTTGATAAGAAATGTACTCATTATCTTGCCCATGTAATTGTAACCCTCTGTTCAATATTTTCACAATAAAAAAAAAAAAAGAAAGGTGGAGGCACTAGATCCTGGGTTGGAGTTTGGGACAGACTGAAGACCTCACTGAGAGCCTCTAGATCAAGTCACACAGGTGTGGCTAACTGTAATGGGTGGGGAGGCTCCTCCAGGATCTCCTAACCAGACCCAGGAGGAAGTGAGTGGAGGAAGAAAGGTCCCAGAGCCGGAACATGGCTCAGTCTTGAGGCAGGTACTATTTGGAGGTGAAGATACAAGTGGCTGTTCAGAGAGGTCAGGTTGCACAGCATTGCCCTCACAAACCTGAACCTGATGGGGAGATGCACCTCAGCAGGGGTGGTACCAGATGCCAGGATTGACTGGGAGGTGCCTGGTGATTCCTGGAGGCCTTCCTCCAGGCCGGGCAGGGATTGGCTGGGTCCTCCAGGTTCCACGGGGCTTGTGAGGATGGAAGAGGAGGTGGCTGGACTGTCCCGACTCTCAGAGGCCTCAGAGGGCTCTGAACTCAGGCTGGGGATGCCAGACCGATCTGGAACCAGAAGACAAAGCCTGTTTTCCTCACTTCCTATAAGACTGTGAACACTGCCATCCTAGCTACTCAGGAGGCTGAGATCTAAGGATTGTGGGTGCAAGCCGGCCGGGGCAGGACTTTCTGTGAGATTCTTTTTTTTTTTTTTTGTCCGGTCCTGGGGCCTGAACTCTGGGCCTGGGTGCTGTCCCTCCGCTCTTCAGCTCAAGGCTAGCGCTTTACCACTTGAGCCACAGCGCCACTTCCGGCTTTTTTCTTTTTGCTTATGTGGTGCTGAGGAATCGAACCCAGGGCCTCAGGCATGCAAGGCAAGCGCTCTACCACTGAGCCACCTTCCCAGCCCTCTGTGAGATTCTTATCTCCTTTAACCACCAAAAAGCTTGAGGTAGAGATATGGTGCAAATGGGAGCGCTCTAGCCTTGAGCATAAAAGCTCAGAGACAGCACCCAGGCCCCGAGTTCAAGCCCAGGACTGGCACACACACATGCACGTGCATGCGCGCGGGCGCACACACACACACACACACACACGCACGCACGCACGCACGCGCACGTCTTTGGCCTTGAGGATCTGTCATAGTCCTCTCGCACCCCTACCCCTCGCCATCACACTTCAACAGGAGCCTGTGCTCACAACAGCCCGACCAAATTGGCTCATTTCTCTGTAGCTGCTCTTGTCCTCTCTCCTCCATCTGTCCCTTCCTGCCCATTCCTTGGCTTAGTTTAGGTGCCACCTTCCCTAGAAGCCCTCCTGAAACACCCACCTAAAACACCCATCCACTCCCAACAGGACCTGCCTCTCCTGTCCCAGGCGGCCAGACCACGCCTGCTCTGTCCATCCAACAAACACTTAGGGAGGACAGCCCAGCTCTGCTCCCCATGCTGGAGAGATAGCAGCCACTGCCAGTCTGATCCTGTTCTTCCGGGACTGCGGTTCTAGAGCCCGTGCAGCCTTGTTGACAACCAACCCAATCCCTGTGTTTATCTCCTCACTAGTCTATGTCATGGGACCCAGGACTCAGTGGGTGCTTCACAAACTCTGGCTCTCTTGTATAAGTGAAACACTGAAGAATTCAGAGAAAGACACAGCGGGATTTGAATCCCGTGGCTGTTGCAGCTTAGACATGTTACTTAGCATCTCTGTGCTTTTACCCGCAGGGGAGAATGCCCACTTTCCCTGAGGGGAGACTGTGAGGATGGGATGGACTCACTGCATGCCCCTGAGCTTAGCTCTCCGCATAGTAGGCCCTCAATGAACATCTTGTTGAGCATCGTTTCTGGACAGCCAACTCTACCTCCACTGGCATGTCCCAGGTGCCCTGGGACCATGGTCCGAGAAGAGATTTTGATGGGCAAGGGTGGGGGGCTGTCCTCGTTCTGGCTCTGAGGGGCAGCTGGTTCCAGGCTGGTGATAGTCTCATAGGTCTTGTTGGTGATATCCAGCTTCCCTCTAGCCCTGCAGGCATGGGCTGGGGGCTTCAGAGAACAGCGCTGTGGGGACAAGAAGAGCCTGGTTTCCCCAGCTCAGCCTGCCCCTCCCCACACCACACCCGACCCGGCTCTTTCCTTCTGCTATCTGCAGGGGCAGGGGGCTGGGCCCACCTTCTCCTCCTCCTCCTCCTCGCTGTCAGAGCCAGGTTCTGTGGAAAGTCCCCACGGGTAGTCCACGTGCAGGGGGAAGGCCAGGGTCCCCTCCTGTGCCTGCTCCAGCTGCCCAAAACAAACACATGGCAGCTGACAGGGTCAGGGGCCCTCTAGGGAGGGAGAAGGGGCGGGGCGGGGGGGGGAGGGCTGCTCCCTTCACTCACCAGCTCCTCGCACTCTTTGTGCTGCTTCTTCCTGGCTATGTCCAGAGCTGTCTCTCCTGCCTCATTCACTATGAGGGAGCAAGTTCAGAGGTCATGGTCAGGGTCAAAGAGACACTAGAGCTCAGAGATGAAGAAGAACTCTGAATCAGAATGTCTGGGTTTGAATCCTGTCTCTCATCTCTTGCTTGTGCGACCTTGGGCAAGTTTCATAACTTTTCTGGGCTTCCACTGTCTTTATCTATACAGTGAATATGATACTTGGAAACGACCTGGCCAGGCTGCCTTGAAGATAAATTTTCAAATGAGATCCCTTGACACCTGTTAAGTAGTAATGTAGAAACTGGCAGCTATGCTGGCCACCATTATCAGACTGTGCTGTTTACTTTGCTGGGTGCCTTCAGAGAAGTTACTTTATTTACCCTTGTAGTAGGCCTACTTATCCATTAGGCATTATCCAGTTTTACAGGTGAGAAAACCGAGGTCCCACAAATCAATCACAAAAACCCCTGGGTTCCAGAGGTCAGGAGCTAACCTGGATTAGAACCCAAGTCATACTTGCTTCTGGTATTCCCTGAGCCACAGGGCAGTGAGAATGGGGCCGCACCTGTACCCACTGGAGCTCTCCCTTTCAGCAGCAGCTTGAGGCAGTCGGGCTGGCCATGGAGGGCGGCGAAGTGCAGGGCAGTGTTCCCGTCTGTGGCCTTGGCATCCAGGTGGCCGCTGGAGTGAGTGGGTGGGTTCAAAGGACAGAGGAAGAACGGGTAGGTGGGGAGAGGGAGGAGAGAGAGGAAGGAAGGGAAAGAGGAGGGACCAGGGGATGGGTGGCAGCCTGGCTCTTACCAATTCTGGATGATGAAGTCCACGGTGGGCAGGGAGGCCTGGTTGGCGACTCTGACAGCCAAGTGCAGGGCAAGTTCAGGTGCCTGAATACAACATCCATACCTGAGCTTCCCTGTACCATCCGTCCCCAACTCAGTGCTGTCTTCTTGAACTCTCCTACCCAACACCTCTGGATCCAATGGCCCCAGGGCCCCAGTGAGAATGTTGTGAAAGAGGGTGAAGGGAGACTATTCCCTCAGTTTCCTTCCATGGTTCCTCCTCTGCCCTGGAGAAAGGTGTCCTCAAACTGGCTCTGGCCCTGTCCTCCCTCTTCCTCCCCTCCCCTCTTTACCCTCCCCCTTCTCCTCCTAAGCTCCCTTCCTGCCTCCCAAATAGGCCTCCTGGACAACCCACAGTCCACAGGATTCCATGCAGACAGCTCAAAGCCAGCCTGCTGCTTCTTGTTGATACTGGGGATTAAACCCAAGGTCTCACTCATGCTAAGCACACTGTGTTCGACTCCCAGCTTGAGACATCTAATTCTTAATCCCAATCAGTTGGCAACTCCTGTGGATTTGATCTTTCCCAGACTTTGACACCCTTTTTCCCTGCTCACATGATGTTTACCACTAGAACAGCACATGCAGCTGCCTTCCCTGCTCTAACTGGATCCACCCACACCCATTTCTGAAGCTATTATTAACCCATTCTACAGATGAGAAAATGGGACTCAGAGAAGTTATGTAACTGCCCTGGATCATAGGAAAAGACACAGCCAGGATTCTGGCCCAGTCTGCTTGGCCAAAGCGGTTCCCTTTGCTATTTCCCCTCTGGTGGGTGAGACTTGAAGTAGAGCACAGATGAGTGAATGCAGTCCTGGAGGAGGCCTGGGGCATATTGAGAGTGCAGGTGAGTTTTTTGGTTTTTGTTGTTTTTTTTTGGTCGGTCGTGGGGCTTGAACTCTGGGCTTGGGCGCTGTCCCTGCGCTCTTCAGCTCAAGGCGAGCACTCAACTGCTTGAGCCACAGCGCCACTTCCAGTTTTCTGAGTTGTTCATTGGAGATAAAAGTCTCATGGACTTTCCTGCCCCGGTTGGCTTTGAACCAGGATCCTCAGTCTCAGCCTCCTGAGTAGCTAGGATTACAGGTGTGAGCCACCGGTGCCCGGCTGCAGGTGAGTTTTACGTGGCCCCAGCAGGGGGGTTCTTACCTGGCCATCAGGCCCTGGCAGTGGCTGTCCGAAGTCCTGCCCGTTGGCAAAGGCCTCCAGTACCGACAGGAGGTCCCTGTTGCAGATCGCCGTCCAGAGTCTCTGGGGCTCTGGGGTGGACCGGCGGGCAAACCTGTGTTCCACATACTTGGCCACAATGTAGTCCCTGCGGGCACTCCTACCAAGACAACCACAGCTCCTCAGAAGAAGGGCCGTTTCCCCTAGTGACCTCTGGAATGATACCCAAAGGAGCACAGGTATCCTGTTCCCCAGAACCAAGTTCCTGGAGACCTCACATCCTAGGGCCCCTTTCCCCAGACTTCTAATCTCAGGGTCCTCTGTAAGCACAGGTGGCCCAAGGCGGGATTTCCTTACATGTCACTCTCGGCAGAGGGCTTGGGTCCACCGTGGGAAGGCAGCTGGGCCTCCATGACCTCATTGAAGCGCATGTTTCCTATGTTCAAAGCCAGCTGGGGTCATGGGAGAATGTTTATTTTGTAAAACCAGGTGTTAGGACAGTGTTCCTTGAAAGACAGAGCCTCCCCAAGCCAGGTCCTTGAGCTGCTCAGCCTTATCTGGGTTCAGGCCCCCAGGCACTGACCACGCCCTGGTATCCTGCTATCCAGCTCAGCTGCCCCCCCCCTCCCCAACCCCGCCCACTTCAGTGAAGGCCAGCCACTAGGGCCCAGTCCCCCACCAGGCCCCGCCCCACGGAGCCCCACCCTCACCAGCAACTCCGTGGGGCACAGCAGGTCCAAGGAGAGAGACTGCATGCGGGAGAAGCGCACGCCTAGCTCGCGGTGAACTCCGGAGCAGTGGATGCAGGTGAGCACGCCCAGGTTGGTACTGAGCCAGGTGGGGTCTGTGGAGAAGCACAGCTGGAGCCTGGGCTTTGCGGGTCCCCCTTCCCACTCCCCTTCCCTCGGCCCCGCCCACCGCAGACCTGGAGCCCGACAGTCGCAGCACTGGCTATTCCCGGGCCTGCTCTTCACCTCAGCGATGAGCAGCTTTGTGAGGTACTGGGGCTCCCCATCCAGCCCCGAGCCCCCATAGGACCCTGGGCCAACGCTCGGCTCCTCAAGGAAGGCACTGCTCAGAGCCTCGTCCTTGCTGTTCTGCAGCACAGACACCCACCTATGACAGATGGAGCGGGGCAGGTGGTGACTGCTGGAGGCTGCACATAGCCCAGGCTCCCGCCCCATGCACAGGGAGACTGCACATAGCCCAGGCTCCCGCCCCGCCCCATACACAGTACTGAAGGGGCACTCACGCCTCACACTCGTGCTCATCCTCTGCCTGGAAGTGGTATGTCCGGTTGTCTGCCCGGAGAGAAGAGGGCATCAGACCTACAGGTCTTGTCGGCGTCCCCTGGCCCAGACAGTCCCCACCCAAACAGCTGGGTCCAGGTGGAGCTTTTGTCTCCAAAAGGTCAGAGGTCTTCCCAAGCCAGAGTGGTGACAGTGGCCAGAAGTAAGGGTGGTTTGCTTCTAACCTCTCTCCCTTTATCCAGCCTGTGCCAGCTTCCAGGCCATTGCGCCTAGAGCTCTGATCACAGTGCTCCCCTACCCCAAGGCCCTGGCCCCCTCCTGCCAGGGAATAAGGTTCAAACTTTGAAGAAGTATTCCCAGGCCTTGCCCCCTCTTCTGCATCAACCATCTATTCTAGCCACACCGCCAAATGCACCTGTTTCCATCCTTTTGTGGAAGTCATCAAATGCTGCATTCTCCAGATACTTCAAGGCTTATCAAATGTTCTCCAAGCAGCCCTTCCTGCTTCCCCATAGCAGCAGGCTTCCACGGAAGTCTATCTATAGGTACCTCTCTCTCTCCCAGACACCTCCTCATCTCCCATCCCTGGGTCTGTCCTGCATACTCCTCCCTGAGGACAAGACCATACAGCTCCTTCTTCTTTTTTTTTTTTTTGTCGGTCGTGGGGCCTGAACTCTGGGCCTGGGTACTGTCCCTTAGCTCTTCAGCTCAAGGCTAGCACTCTACTACTTGAGCCACAGCACCACTTCTGGCTTTTTTCTTTTTGCTTATGTGGTGCTGAGGAATCAAACCCAGGGCCTCATGAATGCAAGGCAAGCATTCTGCCACTGAGCCACCTTCCCAGCCCTAATGAAACCATTTGAGCCAGTGGCTCAAGCTTGTAATCCTAGCTACTCAGGAGGCTAAGATCTGAAGATTGTGATTCAAAGCCAGCTGAAGCAGGAAAGTCAGTGAGACTTTTATCCTCAATTCACTAGCAAAAAGGCTGGAAGTAGAGCTGTGGCTCAAGTGGTATAACACCAATCTTGAGCAAAAAAGCGAAGGAACAGTACTTGGGCCCTAAGTTGGAGCTCTATGACTAGCACAAGAAAAAAGAGTTTCAGTTGAAAAGTTTCAAAGATGTAAGATTGCAAGTGACTCACACTGTAATATGAGCTATGCAGGAAATCCTCAGATCTCAACCAGCCAGGCAAGGTAGAAAATAAGACTCTTACCCCTAATTAACTAGGAAAAAGGTGGTCTGGAGGCAGGGCTCAAGTGTTAGAGCATGAACCATAAGCAACAAAGTCATGCAAGAATGCAAGGCCCGGAATTCAAGCCTCATACCTACCCCAAAACAAAATGAAGTTTCAAAAGCAGATTACCCAAAGCCACTTAGATAAACTTTCCATGATTGTCACTGGGACTATGGAATGTCTGTGACAGGAGACAAAGCCAGAGAAAGAGTCCAGAGTTCTAGGCCTGCTGGGTGAAACTGGCTGAAGGCTGACAGGAGTGGACAGGGATCTTATCAGAGGCCCTGGGAAGGGTGGGGACAGGGAAGGGTCACTTACGGGTCACCAGGTCAAAGCACTTTTTCTCTTCAGGGTTTGGCCTCACTTGGCATGTCAACAGGGTCAGCTTCACGGGGGGCCGGTTGATCTGTGGGAAGTTGGGGGTGAAAGATGGGTATGTTACCTTCCAGTCCCTGAACTATTTTTTTTTTTTTTTGCCAGTCCTGGGACTTGAACACTGGGCCTGGGGCCCCTGAGCTTCTTTTGCTCAAGGATAGCACTCTACCACTTGAGCCACAGAGCCACTTCTGTCTTTTTTCTGTGGAATCCAACCCAGGGCTTCATGCATGCTAGGCAAACACTCTATCACTAAGCCACATTCCAGCCCAGTCCCTAAACTGTTGAGGCCTCTGTTTCCCAATCTGTTCAATCTCATTCTAGTTTACATCTCCTCTCCCCAGCACCTCAAGGGTATGTGGCATTAACCAAGGCTGTTGGACCCTCAGGTCCCTTCTTCCTTCCCACAAGGCATCCCCAGCATCTGGGTCAGGTCTGAGGCCCTTCTTGGAGGGACAGCATGACACCTGTCTGCTCAGAACTCCAGGGGAGACCTCACCGTGCTGTGTGACATGGTCAGGCAGCCATACTTGACTCCACACTTCCTTTTCTGCCAGACTCTTCGAATCCTAAGGCCCAAAGAGACAGAGAGATGGTGGCTCACACTTGGTTCCCATATGACCGAGAACAGAGTTCTACACCCACCTCTGTGGCTTCTAACCACATCTCGACCCCACTTCCCTCCCCAGGCCCCTACACCCATCATTCTCTGGGGCTCCCTTCTGATGGAGCGCATAGTGCTGTGTTCAGGAATCATCCAGTACACTGCAGAAACAACCCACTCTCTGGGAATCCTTATTGTAAAAGGACAATATGACTTTGGGCCCTCTCCAGAGAAATCCTAGCCTGAGGGTGGAGATGTAGTCCAAACCTTATGGAGTAACTACTCAAAGAGGAAGGATAGGCTGTTAATCACCAGAAAAGAACCATGGCTAAGTAATGTAAATATCAAGATCCTGAAAATAAAAATCCTATGAGAGTTAAACTGCTTCTTCTTCAGCTGTTCTTCTCTGATAAAACCTGATTGCAAAGTATAAATATGAACCTAGTCCACAAGAGCCTTGGCATTTCTTGTTCCTGTGTGCTAGTACTGGGACTTGAACTCAAGGCCTACATGCTGTCCCTGAAGCTTTTCACGCCAGGCTGGTACTCTACCCCTTGAACCACAGTCCCACTTCTGACTTTTTGGTGGTTAATTGGAGATAAGTGTCTCACAAACTTTTCTGCCTGAGTTGGCTTTGAACCATGATCCTCAGATCTTTCTCCTGAGTAGCTAGGAGTACAGGTGTGAGCCACTAGCATCTGGCTCTCTTTTCTTCTTCTTTTATTTTTTTGGTGCTAGTCCTGGGGTTTAACTGCCTAAGCTTTTTGCACAAGGCTAATGCTCTACTACTTACGCCACAACTCCATTTTTCCCTTTTTAGTTTTAGTGGATATAAGAATCTCATAGAAGCCAGGCAGCAGTGGCTCACGCTTATAATCCTAGCTACTTAGGAGGCTGAGATCTGAGGATTATGGTTCAAAGCCAGCCCAGTGCAGGAAAGGCCGTGAGACTCTTTTCTCCAATAAACCACCAGAAAACCGGAAGTGGCGCTGTAGCTCAAGTGGTAGAGTGCTAGCCTTGAGCTGAAGAGCTGCGAGATAGCACCCAGGCCCAGAGTTCAAGCCCCATGACTGACCAAAAAAAAAAAAAAAATCTAAAGAAGACTTGCCCAGGATGGCTTTGAACCTGACCTTCAGATCTCAGCCTCCTGAGTAGCTAAGAATTACAGGTGTGAGCCATCAATGCGAGGCTCTGGCTTGCTTTCTTTCTTGCCTGCTTGCTTGTTTGCTTTCTCTTTTCTCTTTTCTTTCTTTTTTTTTTTTTTTTTACCAGTCCTGGGGCTTAAACTTAGGGCCTGCACTGTCCCCGAGCTTCTTTTGCTCAAGGCTAGCACTCTACCACTTGAGCCACAGCACCACTTCCAGTTTTTTTGGTGGTTAACTGCAGATAAGAATCCCACAGAGAAGCCAGGCGCTGGTGGCTCACGCCTGTAATCCTAGCTACTCAGGAGGCTGAGGTCTGAGGATCATAGTTCAAAGCCAGCCCAGGCAGGAAAGACTGTGAGTCTCTTTTTTTGTGGTTGTTGTTGGTCGTGGGGCTTGAACTCTGGGCCTGGGCGCTGTCCCTCAGCTCTTCAGCTCAAGGCGAGTGCTCTACCACTTGAGCTACAGCGCCACTTCTGGTTTTCTGGCGGTTTACTGGAGATAGGAGTCTCAAGGTCTCTCCTGCCCGGCCTGGCTTTGAATCGAGATCCTCAGGCCTCAGCCTCCTGAGTAGCTAGGATTACAGGCGTGAGCCACCAGCGCCCTGCTGGCTGTGAGACTCTTATCTCCAATAAACCACCAGAAAACTGGAAGTGGCGCTGTAGCTCAAGTGGTAGAACGCTAGCCTTGAGCTGAAGAGCTGAGGGACAGCGCCCAGGCCCAGACTTCAAGCCCCATGACTGACCAAAAAAAAAAAAAAAAAAGAATCCACAGAGTTTCTTGCCCAGGCTGGCTTTGAACTACGATCCTCAAGTCTCAGCCTCCTGAGTAGCTAGCATTACAAGCATGAGTCATCGGCGTCCTGCCTAGCTTTGTGTTTTGAGTAGTTGCCCAAGTCACTTACCCGTCACTTTTCTTGTACAGGAAGCCCACTTTCTCTGTCCCAAATTGCTTGTTGCCTTGGTGCTGGTGGATGCTGTAGCCCCCTGAGTTCTTCCTGCTTGGATGCTCCTGACCTCAGACAAGCAAAGGATACCTCAGGAGAGAAGAGCCAATGCTGCCCAGGCCCTACCACCACAAGGGGTTTGTGGGTGCTTCCCTGTCTCCTTCCCTCCCTCCTTCTGTGGTAGGCCTGGGGAGGGCATTCTTTCCATTTGGATGACTCGGGGCCTGACCTCTCTGCTCTCTAGCTGCAGCATCCTTCGGAGGGAGTCCCGGAGTTGGGTCAGTTTGTGTAGCTCTTCCTCCTGGGTCTGTTGCAGCTATGGGACACAGGATGGGACTCCATGGCCAGCAGAAGTACTGGGACAGCGCCCAGACCCAGTGCAGGAGGGCAGCACCTTACACCACCGTGAGACCCAGCCCTTCTCCACCCACAGACAACAGGGGCTTGGGCATACATTCCACTGGAAGGCCCAACTTACTGTATGGACTGAGGCTGCCAGCTTCTCGATGAAAGGGGACAGGCTCTGGGCTGCCTTCCAGCCATCTTGGAAAAAGCTACCAGGAGCCAAACAAGGGTTCAGAGATGAATAAAATGCAGATGAAACCAGAGTATGGGAGACCCTCACGGTACCCAGAGGTCTGGAGCCTGCTGGTCAAAAGTGAGCACACAGAAGCCAAGCTCTCTGGGTTCAGAGCCCACCTACTAGCTATGTAATCTGGGTACATTGGCCTCCATTTTTCTCATCTGTAAAATGGGGATCATGGCACCCGACTATGGGAGTGCTGGGGGACAGTGAGGTTAGGGTTGTAAGGTCAGTAGTAGTGGTCACTTGACATTGAAGAACTGTGTGTGTGTGGCCGGTTACTTGCAGACATCTGGAGAGCTTGCAGGTTGGGGGTTCGGGGTGGGTGGGAAAAGGGAAATACTTACTTGTGCTGGGCGTGGAAGAACTTGATGAGGCTCTGAAGAAAGTCAGGACCTTGCTTCATTTGACTCTCTCCGGCTTTGAGCAGGTACTGGAGGGGGACGGGGGCAAGATGCGAGCCCAGGTGAGACACTAGGGACAAGGGCTGCGGCCCCCGCCCCAAGCTAACCATGACGGTCACTGAACCTTGGTAACATTCTACAGGCCATGTGGGTGAGCGGGGGCAGCCTGCACTTAGGCCCCTAGGGATTTGGGGAGGTAGACAGCAGCACCTCCCACCCCACCCCACCCCACCCTGGGCACCCCGTACCTCACACATATGCAACTGGAAGACACGCCGCTCTCGCTGTGTATCCTGGGCCAACTCCCCGGGGACGGCCCCGGGCACCCGGGCCCGGTCCCGTTCCTTCTCCAACCTGGCCCTAGGCCACAAGAAATAGAGGTCTGAAAAACCTGGCCAGCCCTTCTCTGTCCACCATTCCTACCACGGGCATGTGAGGGTGGGGGTCGGAGCTCTTCCTGTGCTGGGGCTGGCAACAAGGGAAAATAAAGCAGACTTGGAGAGGCTACAGGGTGGTGGGAAGGGAGGGGAGACATGAGTCCATCCACAGCAGAGAGTGACAGGGGAGTGAAGTGGGGACCCGGCCTCATGGTAGAAAGTGGTATCTATGCTGGATTGGAAACCTGAGAAAATCGTTAGCTTGGAGGAAGTGATGGCTGGCCAGGCAGACTGGACCCTGTAATGTCCAAAGGCAAGAGGGCTCCCAGACTCATGAAAAGATGGGGCAATGGCTGGGGTGAGGGCAATGAGGCACCATCCCCCACAGGGCCTGCTTAGGCCATGTTAAGATGTAGGATTTTTCTCCCTACAGCAATAGGGAAAGGTCTGTAGGTGTTTATGCCAGGAGGTAAAGGGCGATGGGGACCTGGGGTGGCGGCCAGTGCTGCTCGGGTGGCAGGGGATGTAGGACCGTGTGGGTTAGATGACCACAAAGTGCCTTCACCTTCCTGTGCTTGCAGAGCTTTCCATTTAGAGCTTAAAAAAAAAAAAAGCTTTATCCTGGGCCGGAGGCGTAGCTCAGTGGCAGAGTGCTAGCCTAGCATGTGTGAGGCCCTGAGTTCGACTCTAGCACTTCCATGAAGAAAAAAGAAAGCATTTGCTTTTTCTTCTTTTTTTTTTTGTCGGTCCTGGGGGCTGAACTCTGGGCCTGGGCGCTGTCCCTCAGCTCTTCAGCTTAAGACTACTGCCCTACCACTTGAGCCACAGTGCCACTTCCAGCTTTTTTCTGCTTATATGGTGCTGAAGAATCTAGCCCAGGCCCTCATGCATACGAGGCAAGCACTCTACCACTGAGCCACCTTCCCAGCCCAGCACTTGCTCTTTTTTTTTTGGGTCCGGTCATGGGGCCTGAACTCTGGGCCTGGGTGCTGTCCCTCCGCTCTTCAGCTCAAGACTAGC